TGGGTGTGCACATACTGTAATGTAAGTGAACTGTAGGACTGTCTTTTGAGTTGCACAGCACACAGCATCTCCATTTCCACCAATCTATTCTAATTGTAGGATCATAACAGTTTTTTTTTATTGATCTATTGGTCTATGACTTTATCAAATATCCTAAATATCAAAAATAATGACAGCTATCATCACAAATTATAATGTGGAACACTGCTCGTTTTCTTATTCTAAATAGTACAGATAAAACCATAAGACATGAGAAATTCAACTGGCAACTCAGTGGCTAAGACTGTTTTGATCAATGTCTTGCACCATATTACAGCTGTTTAGACACTGGACCTCTTACATAGCAGATACTAGATACCCTTCACCTTCATTTGTTCTGTTATAACAAAAATAAGGCATATGGTTGTAGAGAATAATTTCTTGTGTTGTTACCTTGCCTTAGATACAGGGATAAATCAGCTTTTTTGATAAATTACTTTTACTATTACTTGATTGACATGATTTGGATTGTTGAAGCTAATAAGGTTTGTGTCATATATTAAATATTTGTATCGTTTATTTTATTTTTTGGGCAACACAACCAGAGCTTGCACTTCAATAGCTTTTTGTGGGCATTATGCTATCTCAATTTACATTGACTGTAATCTGAGGCTTTGGTGACCAATTCTAAACTTCTGACTGGTGGCACTGTGTGATTTAGACACTGGCCTCCACAGGTGTGGCAAGTGATCTGAGAGATGAGTGAATTCTTCCTGAGTAATGGTAGCCATGATTTGCTCCCCATGTTGCCCTGCTCAAATCTTCCCCTTCCCGTTGTCTTATCTCAGCATCCAGTGCAACCTAAACCAGGGTGCGGTGCCTCTGTTCCTCCATTCCCTGTGCAGCCGGTCCCCATTGCTGGTTTTCTCAAATATCATTGTGAAGAGAGAATGACCCAGTTGAGTTGGACTGACTGACAGAGTCCTGACACCCCATTGTAGGCACCCTGTCTCAACCTGCCACCCACAGCTTCCCACTTTCTGACCTTTGTGGCACCAAGGGCAAAACAGGCAAAGGCATTCAGCTATGCAGTAGATCCATGAAGAATTTTCTTTGTTTTTATAATGGAAACTGAAAAGTATTGATTCTTCCTCCAGACTCAAAAGTAATTTAGATTTCCTTAAAACATTTTTAAAGACATAAATGGTAGGTGGTAGTAGACGGAGAGTAGACTAAAAAAGTAGAGACTTAACATAGATTGTGTAGAGACAGATTATACTTCTCCAACTGTCTGGATTTGATTAAGCCAAACAGTCCACCAGCATCAAGCCAAGCATCCTCTTTAACACTGTAACTTTAAAAAAAAAACTGCAAATAGTTACGAATCTGACCACTGAAGCTAAAATGCACAGAGATGTTAGATGTGTTCAGCAGCGTATCATAGAACCAAGCAGTCATTAAGGATATGCACACAGAACTTGTGTATAATAACTTTGCCACACCGTGCTTATTTATGTGCTAACCCAAACTTCATTACTCCATAGAATAATAAGGCTTGTTTAAAGTAAAATCATTGACCAAAGCCAAATTGACACTTACTTAAGCTTGATAAACTGTTATTTTCCTGGAGCATGGTAACTTGAATAGGATTTGAATCATTTGTGAATCATCTATCATTTGCATTCCTGCCAAATACGCTATAAACATGTTTCCGCATGTGTTCATTCCATAGCTGATCTGCCAAACAGCAGTCGAAGGCTGCTGAAAGAAGGCTTATCTCAGCCTTCTATGAAAATATATATTTCTTTTTAATGAAATGTGGAATCAAAGGAATCTGCGATAAATTTACTGGATATTGCATTTTTTTAATGATTATTTTGGCCAATGTCCGATGCTGTCAATTTTTTTTTGTACATTCACAAAGACAGGAAGTTTTGTGGGGAAAAATCTGATTAACTGAGTGCGTGTGTGTGTGGGTGTTTTTGTGTATTTGTGTCTGAGTATAGCCACCAAACTTTGAATGTGTGTGTAGACTTGCAGACCTTAGCTCAGCTCGGAGATGTAATCTGATTTGCAGAAAGGAACGGGTCGTTTCACATGACTGGTTTAAAGGACCGCTGGCGCAAGGTTGTGCCAGTGTCCCTGACTGATTTGTGTGTGTGTGTGTGTGTGTGTGTGTGTGTATGGATATATGTACTTCAATACTTGTGTGTATACACCTACAAGTATTTGTTTTCACAAAGTGCAATGCAGACATATGAGCATTTGCTACTATAGGCTTGTCTCCACTAGAAAAAGAGAGGTGTTGAAGTTTGCAATGTGGTCAAACACACCAGAGTTTTGCTTTTATTCCGTTGTTCTTCAGTTTAAACACGGTTTATTTGCAGAAATAAAGCCACCACTAATTAACAGTCAATTACACATCTGGAAAAAAGCAAAGCTCTGCTACAGACTCGGATGAAGGTTTTGTTTGCAGCTTTCTGTTTACACATCTCTTATAATCAGAGCTTTATTTTGAACTAATGGACCATCAGAAATTATATCAAATAATTGAAATCATCCTATAGCCTGAGCCCTTTTTACAAGACTGCTAGGATTAAAATCCCCTTAAAGCTTCCCCTATGAATCTGCTGGGTTTTTTTTTTTTTTACATGAATAGAAAAAAATGTTTATTGATGTTTTTGTGGTCGAGATTCTCAGATGGGTTTTTTTTTTTTAGCTGGAAGAGGTCCATCATGTGATTTTCATTGGAGAGTGGCCGGAGGAGACGACCACAATAAAAACAAGTGAGCGTGCATGAGCGTGTGTTTGTGTGTCATCTGGCCTTGTTAATAACTGCAGGTTGTTTTCCATCTTGAGGTCGTCAACTGCGGTCATGGCATACACAAATGGCAAAGAGGAGGCCCTAGGAGGTGATATCAGTGAGTGCTCCTGGGAGTGTCGTGTAAATGCATGCACAGGTCTTGAGAGTTTCTCAGTAACTGTGCTTCTGAGAGTTTGTGAGAGTTGCAAGTGTGTGTGAAAGTGTTGTTGCTTGAAAGTGTTTTCCTGTGTGTGGAGAACTCATAAGCAGGATGATGTAGCAAGCAGGAAGCTCTGATCCCAATAGGCGTGTCAGCAGGAGTAGTTTTTCATAAGGTAGTAATCTGACCAGACAAAGGGGTGTCCAATATTAAAGAGAGCCCCTACCCCTGAGCTAATCAAGACCTGACCAACCCTTCTGCTGGCTCACCAACTCTCTAAACATTACCTCATCTGGAGGCTTAGCCTAGCCACATGCAGCTCCAGTCTGCTGGTGTACATGATAACTCACTTAGCACAGTATGATAGCTAGAAAAAAACGGAAATATAAGAAAGGATATAAAAGAAATGGGACCAGCACACAACTACCTATGGTGCCTAGTGCCAGGGAAAGGTATTTTAAAAGGCAGAGGAAAGAAAGAATCATTTTACCATGTCCTCCAGAAACTCTGGGAAGCAATTTGCCGGTATTCAGTTTCTCTCCCCACCGTCCTGTTATTGCTGTTTTCCCCTCAACTCTTGGAGCCTTCAACCTGAAAAGGAGAGTTTTTTTTAGTTTAGGCTTTGTGTCACTTGGAAACAGTGCCTTTGTTGCCAAGGCAACAGTTCTGGGACAATGAAACTCAGAAGCAGAGAGCGCCTTTGTCTTGGAATGGATGAAGAGTGACCGACGCTGTCTTTGGTCCAGCCTCTTAACGTGTGCTGTAGAAACCTGCAAGAGTCTTGATTCAGTATCTACCTGAACCTGTTGACCTCATAAAATAAAACCAGCACACCAAATAAATTTTAAATGTTACAATGGAAAAGCTACTTTGGCTACTTAAATTTGCCCGGGCTGCCAGGTTTTGCAGAGCTCCCCTGAAACCCTAGATTTACATTAAGCAAAGATGAAACGTAGATCTCAGTTTCTAATCCGGATTTGACTTTTTTTTTTAGTTTCTGCGAAAGTACTGCTTTCACTTATTTTTATATCCAGTCATGCATATATGAGTCATTTTCTGCTTTTGTTCTTTTTCATATGGTTAACTTCTACATGTACAACATGCTCACAAATTTCAGTTATTAGAGCTAGCAAACAATAGTGCCCATAGACTCCATATAAAAGAGGCATGTTAAATTTCTTGAGTTTAAAGTGGCTATGTTTAGGGTAATTATGAGCTATTAGTTATCAGCTAATGCTAGCAAGCTAGGTTAGCAAGCTACATCTGTCAGCTGTATGGGTCCATTTCACAGACAGAGATATCAGAAGTGTACTGGGGTTTCACTCACAGACAGTGGAGCAAAGCTTTGTGCACAGATTTTACCAACTCATAGCAGGATATTATTTCTCCCATTTAGTGAATTAGCAGAGGTAAAGACTAGAAAACCGGTACTGCCTTTAGCTGCCTATGCTAGCTGCTTAACCCTGAACATGCCATTTAAAAAAAAAAGACTTCTACATACTGCAGCTTTTTTGGCTCTAATTTGAAATATAATTTTCCATGAGTAAGTGACTTTCCTTAAATGAGTCAAGTCACTTATGATTTGTATGTCTGTGAGAGACCTGTTGTTTTTACAGACACTGGAGAGGAAGCAAGTTGTCTTATGTACTATTCATTTATTTTAAAAAGATAAAGTGCACATGACCTGTAATCCTTATTGTACTGTTGTTTCCTTCTCTCTGTTTTTTCTTGTTATAATATTTAGAGGCCAAAATGGGAAACCATATAATTAATTATAGGAATATTAACATAATCAAAATCAGTTCAAGCAAGTGTACTAAATGATTTCATTTTAACACCCAACAAGACTCAGAGATTATACAACACTGCGGGTTAATCTTGTGGCATCTGTAAATCAAGGGAACATTTGCCATTAGTCATTTACAGTTATCAAAGTTTCTTAATACAAGTTTGGGCAGTGTTGGTCAAGATAAAATTTGACTCCAGTTTTTTTTCTTTTGTCTTATATGTGCACCTCTCTCTGAATCACTTTATTTCGCCATTCTTTATCTTTTTCAGATGATCACCAAGAAGGGGCTGAGTAATGGAAACATGACCTCAAGAGATTCAACAGGTAAGATTCTGTCTTTTGTTTGATCTTAAAGCCTAGGAGTACATGATTACACACACTGTCATCTTATGAGGAGCAGCGACTGTTGCTATAAACAACCACAGTATGGTATGTTGACTAAATAAACAGACGAAGAAGTGGTAGTTCACATATATGAGAGATGTGATCAGGGTGGTGCCACTGGATTCATGCCCGTGTTCTTGCTGTTTTTTTTTATTGTGTAACCCAAGTCATGACAGCACAGTAAAGAATGCAGGGACACAGAGATATCACTTCAAACACAACTTCTCTCAGGAGCCTCAGATCCTTTCAGTGGAACTGAATGAAGATATGCTTTGATGGCCCACCACAGAGTCGGTGGCTTTCAAAGAAACCTGTTGATGGGATTGCACAGTGCACCCAGCCAACTGAATGAGTGGTACTGTATTTGTGCCTCTCAGGATACTCCTGGGTGTTCTCATTGGAGGTCAGATCTGCTTGACCTCAACATGAGTAGTCATTTTCTGTAGATTTTTTGGCTTGCCTTATCTTTTTTTTTCTTCCCTTCCATCTTGTTCTCTCACCAAATGGAGGAGAACTGTGTATGGATTGCAGGGTGCCAGCAGACAGGTACAGTAGATGTGCTGATGAGGGATGGTGATAGGGGCAGGCCTCAGTTGCAGCCTCAGGCAGAGAGAGACATACACAGGCAGGCGTAGACTCAGAGGCAGGTTGAAACCTGGTGCTGTATGCTGATGTTTCTCTGCTTGGCTGTGCTCCAGGGTGAGGCATGTGAGAGAAACGTGGGAAGGGAAAATCCAGAATGGAGGCCAGAAGAGATGCACAAAGTCAGGTTAAGGAAATCTGTCCTCCTTTGCCTGATTTTCAAAACTAAAACCACAATGAAAAAAAGAAGGGTAGCTAAGAATGTGTAGTGGTAACAAAAAGTGGGAGAGGAAGTAGGCGCATGAAGAAAGAGTACAAGAATTAGGCTATACTGTACGCTGATGGAACGTGACTACTCACAGGTAAACCAACTCAGAGGTGCAGACAAGCAGAAAGAAGATAGGAAAAATTGATAGATGACTGCTTATCCTCTGACATGTTCCTTCCCCGGGCAAAGAACAAGCAGGGCAGGCCCGTCCTGCCACTTTTCTGCCATAAAACATGCAGGGTTGAGTGGGTGGTAGACAACGTCATGTCATTTTGTGGAGGGTAAAGCAAAGCCTGGATTGTCAGGAGAGCACCTCTGTGTATTATGTCATCTTAAAAGCAGATGTTGAAGCCACATTAGATGAGAATTCAGAAAATAATTCAGCTGTTCAGCTGCTTATTAAGCAATGTGCTTATATTTCTATCTTTAGTCTTAAAGATGGACTTATCTTTCTTTTCTTTTATGAAAAATAGTTAGTTTCATTTGCATGATTACCTGGCCTGGTATGCTGTATCCAACAAAGGCATCTGGAGTTAGCCAACACACCATAATGTGATAATTTCAGCAGCGAATGAGGTTGTGGGTAATTCTTCTCCTCAGGCCCATTTCTTTTGTCAGCAGTTTTTTGAAAAGAGCCAGTTCTGTTCTGCTAAAGTAATCAGCTGCGCAGTAGTTGATCAGTTTTGATGTTTTATTAATTTAATAATTATTTAACGTAACTTTATAAAGCCTTGACTCAACATTTTAAGCAAAACATTGTTATAAAGGATCCTATACTTATCTTTTTTTTTCTTAAGCGCGGGTATGAGAAATGTCTCAATATTCAAGTAAGTGGTTTTGGGCTCCAGTCAGTCATTAGTTTCTGTCTTATGTTTCCAGGATCATACTAAATCCCGGTTTGGACTGTTGGACCAGCATCCTCTGAAGCAGATGTTTGCTCCTGGCAAGGCTGCCGACAACATGAGCTCCCACACTGGCAATCTAGCTCTCAGGATTCAGTGAGCAGCGTGAGCTTGGAGAAGCTATGACATAAACGCAGCAGGACGGTGAATCGCGTTTTGCTGCTCAGACATCATGGAACAGATCAGTCAGCCCCATCTGGAGAAATGCTCTATAGAAGAGTCATATATTTACCATAGTTACTTTGATGGATACAGCATGTTGTTTGACTTTATTTTTCTAATTGATTTTAATAGAAATGATAATTTCCCGCCATCTATGTATCTTCTCTTGTTTTGCAGATTTTAATTACAGTGTCGCTCATTCAGTGACTTCAGCATTTACTGTGTCATTTTTGTCATTTTTGGTAATGTGACTGTTTTCAAAGTGGCTCTTCTAAAACTTTAAGAAAGTTTATCCAGGGAGGAGCACAAAAAAATGTCTCCTACTGTGTAAAAAGACTTAATGCACATGTGATTGAGATTAATCAGATGAATCACTCAGTCAGTGGATATGTGATTTTCATCTTCTTACTGCAGCGACAAAGAAGCCATTGTCATTATTGTAAAACCATGAATTCTCCTTCTTATGCTGCATTTCATTGTGACACATTGGCAGCTTCTGCTAATTTCAGTTAATAATCCTGTCAAGCAGTTTATTCTCATTATGATTTATGACTCCATAGCTTTTGTTGTTTTTGTTAAGCCCTGTTAGCAGAAATTAAAAGGTGTATCCAAGCCGCTGTTTGTTTGTGTTGTCATTCCAGATACATGAGATAAATGGTTGGATGTTTCAGTGGTGTTCGTTGTTACGGTTATTCATGCTGGCTTCCTTACTAGTTAGGCCAGTATGTGCTAGTCTAGCATTTGAGGAATAAATGGGGTGTTATCTTTTTTTTTTTTTCTTCAAAGGAAGACAAGGTAAAGGTGAACTTTACAGTAAAAATGTACTATGTTACATTTAAATTGAAACAGTGATTTTTAATAGTTTTACTGGCAATCGCAAAATACTGAATGTATATTTTTAGGTGATGTTACAATGTAATGTGTAAATGCATCACTTACTATAATCACAAAAAAATTTGTAGAAGTAACAGTAAAAAGATGACATCATTTTGCTGAGTTTACACTCTACAAACGTGTCACGTATGATGTTGATGGAGAAGTGCTTAATGTCACATAATAGGTCAACGTGTGTCAAAATGCAGGGAGTTTCCAACCATACTGTGGAAGAAATCCCCACAGATCCCTCGTCTTGTCCCAAAAATATTCAACATACGTTAATGCATGCAGTGTTTTCATTTAGTATGAGTGACTTCAGCATTTCGGCAGTGACTTCCCATTCAGCTGTCTTTCGCTGTCATTTCAGTTACGATTCAATAAAGTCTGCGTCAGGGTGGGTGGGAGCTAAGGGCCATGTGGAGAGAGGGAATGCCACATAGGTGAAGGAGTGTATAGTTGCTAAGGGTGTAATTATTCCTCAAGGGGTTACTTATTGTTGTCCTTGCCTCAGTGATAAAACAAAGCTGACTGGGCAAGTTCCATTACAGTTTGTTCAGGCTTTTATTCTAGTGCTTGACAACTTGTCTCGGGCATCATAGGAATCATATTAAGACTCAAATTTGAGGTGGACGAGGTCATAGCCGTCTGAAAAAAAAGACGACAAGCGGGATAAAGGCCCCGGTGGTGATGTTTTGGAAGTTGAGCTTTGTGACATCTTTATGGCCCTGCTTATGTTCAACAACATTAGCATGTCCACAATGCACTTCTCTGCTTGTCTGCCTCCCCCCTTTTTTCTCTCCTCCCTTTTCTCACACACATACACATTTACACAACTCAGGGGGGAAAAAATGACCTCTCGGCAGCTCTCAATTCACTGCACTTCTATAGCCTTGAATGGACCGGCTCAACAAAAGGTGACATAATTTTCTCAGGGTTTGATTGGCCCCCTCCATGCCACAAGATGACATCATGCGAGCCTCCCCCTCAAACACTCTACCACCACCTCCAGCACTATCACACAACCCCCCCACCCTCTGTTCTTGGATGCTGTGTTACCAAGACAACAGAGCTAGGCCCAGGCCATGGGGCAGGACTTGGCAACGTGTTGCAGCTTGGCTGTCCATAATAAGCTCAGGCAGCGTTGCTGTTGTGTTTGTGGTAAACAGTCTTGGGAAATGATACGGGGGAGACGGGAAGAAGGGATGGGATAATGATAGGTTGCCTTTTCATTCAACCTCTCCTCTACATGGAGTATTTATGTAGCTATCAGCATCAGGAAGTATTTCAACAAGAAGTGTCAAGTCACAAACCTTTGATGTGAAGATTCTTGTCAACTAGTGAACTCTTACAACTTGAAGCCTCCACATGGTTCTGGTATAAGGTTTACTCTGTCTCCATTTATATTCAAGTTCAAGGAGAGAGTATGTGCCCACAAGGCATGGCTAATTTGCTTTTATTAATTACAGATTTTTATCCTGTAAAAATATGTGATGATTAAAATACATGATTTTTCAAAGCTGTACTTTGTACTTGTTGCCTTTAAAAAAAAAAAAAAATGTCAGCATATGTATTCCGAATTTGACAGAATATGACACTTTTTCTAAAACTGTGGGCAGTGGTGGTATTTGTCATTCGACTGGTCTATGACATCAAATAATACATCCTAGGTTCTCACACAGAATCAGAGCCAGAAAATCTGCTGGCTGCCTATGGCTCAGCTCTGTAAAACCTGTGTCCCTAACTAATGAATGCCACTTTTCATACTGGTATGCATCCAGAAATATTACAGCCCTTGTATACCAGACTATCACACACATACAAATGACCATTTCCCCTTGGAATTGTCATTAATGAGGATAATTTGAAGGTGGTTGACATACAGCTCTGAGCCAAACCTTGTTGGTTCCAAACTCTCCTGCAGCACTGATGCCTTTCAGCACGCTCCAAACCATTTCCTCAAATTGGTGCTGTATCCCAAGAAAAAATGACACAATTACCACTTGGTCTTGGAGAGAGTCCATGCTTCATGTTGAACATTACATATTGCACTAAAGAGTCGTGTGACGCATGTGCCTCTGCTGGTACGTATTGATTTAAATAGTCAATATAAGGTAATTTTTTTCCTTCTTTCCATGCAGGTTTTTGTCTTTATCGTGCCCATCATGTAAAGTCTCTTACCCATTTTAAAGTGCTCCTCTCTCTAGTTTTCATACTTTGCCTTTCGTCTTTCCTGTGGTGTGATGTGATTAACTGTGGTGCACAGGGTTGGCCCCTTTTTGGACTTTGTTGGACGAAAGCAGCTTTAGTGGGTTTTTGAGCTTGGTTGAACACCGACTGGGTATCGGTTACCTCTGGCATGCCGAGGATGCGTGGGCTCCCAATGTCCATGACGTCGATCCGCTCAGCTTTGCTTGCAAAAAAGAAATGGTGGGAATCTGCTATACCCTGCCCTTTCTCCTTCTTTTCCACAATTGTTCTTTTATGGAGAAAACCTATTTCCAACAGGTTTTCACGTGTCATGAGATTTACCTTGAGTGTATTTTGGCTGTATTTTCCCAAGTAAGAACTTCATCAATAAAACGACTTCAAAGTGAGAGTGACATTAAGGTAATAGATACTGCACAGCTTATTCACTGTGACAGCCTTGACTGGACTGGAGGGGTGACTTAGATAAGGTGGTTGCATGACAAACCATCCTTCGGTCTGGGCAAGCACCATCTATCATCCTCTCCATCACTTGCCTCTCTTACTCACTCCTAATCCTCATTGAGTAGGGGAAGGAGAGACTCGGTAAGCAGCAGAGGATGAGGAGGAGGGGAGTGACAGAGCAGGCCAAAGGCTCCACTGACATCCATGGGAATCTGCAGATCCATTCAGTGGTAATTATCAGCATCAATGCAAAGAGGCAGTGGCAAGGCAAGGGGTGGGGGCAAGGGGTGTGGGAGAGTTTTGGGGGTGGGATTGGGGAGAAGGAAGGGGGTTGGGGGAGGATAGAAATAATGGTGCAGATCCAAGAGTGAAAATGAGAAGAGGCGGTGAATTAGAAAGAATTGTGGGTTTACTTTCAATTATGGTAAATATGACGTGAGCTTCATGTTATGAGAAAGCACATGTTGATTGAAGGCAACATTTCCCTTTAGCTTTCTGGAAAAGTGATTACCAGAATATATTTATACGACTATCTGTAACAGACATTTTATTTCTCTGATTAAGTCGCTTCTCATTTTGTTTTTGGTCCAGGTCAGTGCTTTTATTTAATTACTGTCAGTGGAGATTATTTAATTTACTTAGACTTAAATTAAACCATTATTCAATTTTAAAAAATGCTCTCAACTTCTTGCTAAGGGCACATCTGTAATCTGAAAGTTTTTTGTATGTACAGTATTTTTTTAAATTGATGTTTTAGAAAGAAAAAAGGTTGCATGGACATATATGAGCCAGTGTAAAGTGAAGGAGCATGGTAGAAGTTCTCAAGTCCAGGATGCCAACCCTCATCCCCTCCTACATCATACATCACTCTGACAGGCCATTTCACTCCTGGATTCAGAATCCAGGCTGAGAGACCACCTCAAACACTCTGGGCTTGTCACCGCATGGTGAGAACGTCACTCCCAGGCCACTGAACACCACGTTTGAACTTTAGCCAGCTGGCAGAGTCGAATCTGTTCAGCTAAGAAAATTATGACAAATGATTGTTTTTTTTTTTTATTCCCTTCCCTAATTTTACACAGAAAATCTGAAAATTTTCCAGCAGAGGGAGATTCACCGCATCAGCTCTGAGTGACCTTTAACGACTTATAAAGAGGAAGAATCAAATTTAAATGGAAAAGACTAAAATTTTTGGGCGTCAGTTCTCTCAAACAGAGTTGCTCATTCCTTTTCTCTGTGGAGAAAAGGTCAAGTCAAAGGTCAGGTCAGCACTTGTCTTCTTCGTTAGAAAGTCTGGTGATACTCTGGACTTTACCAAAAGAAACATTGTCAGCTAGAGATGTTTCATTATGCCTCTGATGAATTTAGAAGGATGGTGTCAACCTGTCAGCTCCAAGGATAAATGATGTCTTAATGTCAAGCTGTCAGAAAGAGGTATCGTAAAATATGGTGAGAATGCTCAGAAAAAAAGGCACTGTGGTCAGACTTCTCCTTAGAGGTGTGTGGTAAGTTAGGGTAAAAGTAAAATTCCCCTAAAAGCACATGTAGTCACGTGTTGTTTATTTACAGTTTATAACGTTTTATAAATGCTTGAGAAAAAAATAAAAGATCACTTCCTTTTTAAATGGAAGAAACATCACGTTTGAATCCCAGGTAAATCACCTTTTTTTGTTTGTTTGCTTGTATGTTAGAAATTTCTATGACGTTTCTTGACTCAGCAAGAAACAAAAACAGGTTCATGTTCCTCATCATTAAAGGTGGTTCTTGAAGTTTTTATAATCAATCTTTAAGATTGAATTTTCTGTATACACATGAAGGAAGCTAATTACTTCCTGAAAATAGTAAATTTACCATTTTTTGTTGCATAATTACAAAATATAGTGGGATCTCATTTTGTTGTAAAAACCAGCATGACGGTTTTCTGCCTCCCACACACGCCCACCAAAGCAGTCCTCTTTGGTCAGCGATATAGAGTGACCCTGTGACACACACACACCCAAAGTTCCTTTTTACACACAGCACTTGAATTTCATTTCCTGACGTGTAAAGCTAACAGAGCAGCGCGGAGCAGCGAGATTTCAAGTAGT